ACAAAGGCCAAGGCGGGGCTTGAAGAGACGAATAGTAGCCGGACACGACGAAACGATCAAACGCTCCAGTGCCACTATCCGCAAGAATACTCCGGACTAAGACTGAGACTGAGACTAGGACCCGTATCAACATCATACAGACCACACATTGACGACCATGCTCCCGACACGATCCAGATCGTGAGATGCGGCAGCCGTTGCTGCTTGCAGGATGATCTACCCACCTGAAGCACCACTTGACTTCTCGTTCCTCGGTTCTGCCAGGTATTCGTACACGTAGCCCGGCTCTAGCCCCAGCCCCAGCTCCAGCTCCCGATACCAAGCGGCGCTTGCCTGTGGCCGGTTGTATGTACATCGTTGGGCGGCTAGGCCTGACCACGGTCCCAATGACACCAGTCAGTCGCCCTTCAGACTGAGGGAATGAATGCTAGTATCTGTAGGATGGGGCAAATTACACGTAGTTGGCATCCGTACACCTGTACTCTGTACAGGCTATGCTAAACTGGCTGGCGCGGCGTTAGGATAGCCTCATCTTTCATAGGCGCCGAAAAAGATCAAGTGGTCCGCCCTATGCTTCCGTGGCCCGTCTGAGGTCTCCGGCTGGATGTCCCGGCGCAATGTGGACATGCCACCTGCATCACCGGCCACTAGCTGCAGTTCACCACACACCATCGCAGCTGCACTGGGCTCAACCGGAACGGGCTGGCTGCATATTGGATTTGGCCAGAAGGCACTGGACGAAAAGTGCGACTCCTTACCGACTTGTGAGTGGGGTTTCCGTTAAGCTGCCTCAAGGTAAGGTAGGTTGGGCTCAGCAGCAGGGACAAGCTGTCAGTTTATGGCGGCCCCGTGCTACTGGAGTGATGGATGTGCCGCTGATGATACCCTACCTAGGCACGCCGTACCCTGAAGACAAAGTACTGGCTTCCGTATGGCTGCCAATATTCACCTCCCAGGTAAAGTAGGTCTTGTACATAGTTGCAGGTGGGTGGGTTGCCAGAGACGTTGCAAGGTATCTAGGTAGGTAGGTACCGACGGGAGTAGGTACATAAGACACATATGTGCGGGCAGACTTGCTTGAGTCTTGACCCTCTCACAGCTTGGTTTATGTCGGTTGCGCGTGCCCTCTTCCCCCCCCCCCCCCCCAGACTAAGAAGTATCTCTTTTAAGCATTTCCTTTCACGCAGGAGTCGGGACCTGGCATGCTTGAGGTTGATTCCCCTTTCTTGTTGTCATTAGCATTCTGGTCTCTGTCTCGGTGCTACGCTGCCTGCCTGTCAATACCTTACCAAATCACCCACTAGCACTACCACCATCACCAGTGCACCACCATAAACCTACACATCATCATCAATAGGTTGCCCTGGATAGTTTCACTCGGAATTTTCTTTGCAACCACCTCGAGGAACGCACAAATCAACGAGGCTGCCACCAAGCCTACTTAGCTTGAGTCGCCTGTCTGCGCCTCTGCCCCCCCCCCCCCCTCGCGTCCGCGGAAGCGCAACGGCACTTACACGAAACTATTCTCGACCTGTTACCTAGCTCTTCGCTTCGCTTCACTCTCACCTCAAACAGCCGCCCTATCTAGTCATCAGGACCGGCCCTTTACTACCAACCGCCCCAAATGACTCCCTACTTTGACGTCTCCCATCTTCCCTCCTCAACGTCCTTCTACTCCGCCATTTTTCAATCTCTGGGCATCCACTATATATCTACGGATTCCCAGACCGCTCCCCCGGACGCCAACGCCAGCGCCAACGAAGGCGCCGACACCGACTCCAAGACGGCCATCACCACTTCAGGTCCTGGCAGACTTCCCAGCACCGTCACATACGGTATACTGTCCCCGCTCACCCCCATTTTCCAGATCCGCGAGGCCCGCAATTCCAGCGAGCCCCTGAAGCTCTCTCGCGCCGTCTTTTCTGCTCCCTCCCCCACCGCTGTCACCGACTTCCACGCCTTTGCCGTCCGGGCCAATCCGAACCTGCTGTCCAGCGTCCCGGCTGATCACTTCACTCGTCCCGCTTTAATCACTCAAAGTGGCGATATCCACCGGGCTACTGTGACCGACTTGGACGGTAACACCATGGAAGTTGTATATCAACCCCCTCCCAACTATCCTCCCTCCTACGCTGGCTCTACTGTTCGAAAGACACAGTCTACCACGGAGGAGGCTGGCCGTATTCTGGATTGGAATTACGACGTTGCAGCATCCGAGCCCCCCCCGCCGCCTTCTGTTTCCGGTTCCGCTACTGCCGGGACCTTTTCATCAGTCTTCGCCATGGCCGCTCGCTCTGGGTCATTTCCCGGTAACGAACCTCCTTACACAATGCTTCGTCGAAGCGTCACCACCTCGGTCATCGAATCGCCAACCAAAAGAGACGAAATCCCATCTCAGCCCTCTCCATCGAGCGGTGGCATCGCTACAAACACCCTTGTCGGAAGTCTTTTAGGTGCAGCTGTTGGTGCCGCCGCCGGCGCTGCCGTCACCTACGGAATGATGCGCAAGGAACGTGCACGAGCTCCGCGCCAGGAGTTTGATGGCTCCGGAGCCGCCCCTCCGTTTCAACGCCGTTCCACCTTCCCCGATCAATATACCGATCCGCAGGCCGGACGTTATGTCGAAGTCGAGAGGACCGTCGAGAAGATCCGGTACCCAGAGGCTTACCCGGCACTATCGGACAACCGAGCACCTCCCCAGTACATGGCCAAGTACAGCCAGGTCGGCGCTCGAAGCCGTGCCGCAGATGACCTGTACGACGACACCCGCAGCCGGCACTCGTCTCGCTATCAGCTCGAAAGAGGCAGCAGTGTTCGTTCTCGCAGCCAAGCCGCTGTTCCCCGAACCGCCCCCCTTATGCTCACTGATTACGAGCACCAAAGTAACGCAGGCTCAAGACACAGCATGGCCAGCAGGTCGGCCGTGCCCCGCACCATCGTTGACGATGCTGGAACCTACGTCTCAGCCCGAAGCGGGAGGTCTCAATCCACCATCCGTCCGCCCCCGCCCACTGTTGAGACGATATTGGGCGGGCGGAGTCAAGCACCTAGCCGTGCACCCAGTCGCGCGCCGACTATGGCCCCCAGCCTCGTCCCGAGCCGCGCACCCACCAAGGCGCCGAGCAGGGCGCCTAGCAGGCCACCGACTGTTGTGCGTAGCAGAGCTCCTACTGTGGCACCCAGCCGAGCCCCGAGCATGGCACCCACTCAGGCGGCGCCGGCTACTGTTGTCCCTAGCAAGGCACCCAGCAGAGCACCGAGCAGAGCTCCAACCAGAGCTCCAAGTAGAGCTCCAACGGCGGTTCGAAACACTCAACCCGTCTTCGCCTACCCCCCTGCCACGCGAGCACCGACCTATGTGTCGGCACGCGGCCCTCCTCCGCCAAAGAGCCGCATTGACAGTGGTCGTAGTGCCTGGGAAGATGACGCCATCAGCGTAGCACCAAGTGATAGTATCAGCTGTATCGGCAGCAAGACCAGCAGGCGTCAGTATCATTAACAAGATGGAGAAATGCAGTGGATTGTCTTCCACCGGAACGTTTTGATACAGCTATCGGGGCTGGCAAGACCTCCAATGTCGAGCGACTCAAAATTATCAACAGATTACTCGGCCGCACAGAACGAGTGCCGATGTTATTGCAACATATTTTTCTTATTTAAAGGCTGGCTTTTACGATTTAGGCACGGATACGGATGCATGGCATGGCAGTTGTTCTATTTACAAAGGATGATGACGACCAGATGAGGCTGAAGCCGGGGCAATACGGAAATGATTGTGACACATGGGAGTCATGTTGAGATACTTTTGCTTGCTTGGGGACTGCTCAACGCTGAGATAGATACTAGAAAAGCTCTTCACAAGGCTGATCTCGCTGACATGGGCTTCCACGGAGGTCTACCAAGTTCTTGAATGCGTGTAGGTGTTTTCGTGTCTTGGGCCAAGTTTGTGGAAATGCTAGACCGGTGTCGACTAGTGTTCCTCAGCTCTCGATTAATGGATAGTCTGGTTAGATGACAGGCTGGACCAAAGCTATGGACTGTTTGGTTATCACCGTCACCAATAGTATCATCCGATATCTTAGTGCTGTCTGTTTGGGGCTTGGGGCTTGAGGCTTGAGGTGAGGGCTCGAGGGAAACCAATTCTGTTTTTGGGTCTGCTATGATACCTTTCGCTTGGTAGATATCACGTCGTAGATGCCCAAATTCACTTACCTTACTTTCAAGAAGTTCAAATATTTGGGCTTTGGGTCTGAGGTCCTAGGTATGTTAGAAAGGTACTATATGTAGGTATCCGTATTGCGTAAGGTAGAGAGACAGCAGGTAGAGACGAATAAAATGCCCCTCGCGGGGCATCACTCCGATCCTCGGCGCCCCGCATGCCACGGCATAGACCAACAATTACCAGTCACAGACTCTCAATCCCACGTCGCTCCACTAAAAGTTATCCTTTGGGGATTTGGCAGATTTCTACGGATACTGACTTCTAATCACCCACATCGAGTCAAGTGCCGGCAAACCGGGGACATGGACACTGGAGGTGAATCTGATGAGATTCGCAATTGACAGCATATTTTCATCGACAACTACTGGGCAGGGCCACCATTCTACACTACTTGAAATCCCAGTGCGATCCCACACATGGAAAGAGGGAGAGTCAGAGATAAACAATACTAGTGAGTGCGGGAGAGAGAAGGAGAGAGAGAGGGAGAAAGAAAGAAAGAAAGAAAGAAAACTGTACGAGTGGAGGGCTCTTGCGTGATACCTTACCTACTTTAGCCACCTCTGCACCGGCCTTGACCCACATCTTGTCCAATTCAAACTCCAGCCTACTTGACTCATCTCATTCTCATACAGATCAACGACGCATAAAAGCCCACACCACATCACCTCGGTGAAATACAGAGCAAGCCGATCACTGGTCATAACACACACGCTTTTAAATGAGGTCTAACACATTGTACAGTTCACGTAGATAAAAAGCACAAGTCAAGATTGTCACAATGCCCGCTCTGGAATTGGGACAGTCCATCCCGCCAGACACTGCTCATGTACGCCGAAGCCACTTCCATGTGGTTCCCTTTCCTTGTTCAGAGCCATGTGTGACGTCGTTGCTAACAGCCCGCGTAGGCAGTGAGCGTTCAGCTTCCTACGTGGAAGGCAAATGTCGGCTACGAAGAGGGAGAATCATGGGTCGTCGATAAGATGACCACCGGTTACCCCAGGTAAGCCTCTTCTTCCTTGTCAACTCTTTGTTCCCGGCTGAGACTATTTTTCTGTCAAGATTCTTCATTCATAGGTGCATTGTAGCCTTGGCTGAAGATCTGATTGCCCAACATGGCCCTTCGGGTCAGAAAGCCATGTTGTTTCCCACCCCTCGTATTGCGAGAAGGTGCCTGGCCTTTGTAAAGAAACATGCAGATGCCTCGATTTCTGCCGGTGCCACCGTCATTGATTTCGGGCTCGACATGACCAAGGATATCTCACCGCTCCTGCGCTCCCTGTCACCCACTGTCTCTGCCGTGGTGTATGCCCCCGAGGTATTCCCCTTTGCCAAGCAGTACTGGCAGCATACAGGAGACGGAATCTCAAGCCGAAGAGCGGAGTTCTGCCATGGTCTATTGAAGGAGGGCCTCTTCGTTCCCGTGGCAAGGCCCAACTCCCCAGTGGGAAAAGCCCACAGAGGTCCGAAGAGATACCATCGCCCATCTTCCATCGACGACACCAAGACGGCTCACCACCCAGCAGCCAAGGTGAACCCCCAGAGTGCGTTTGAAACGCAAGAAAGCCTACGCTTTCTCGAGGAACGCTTTGGCCGTAACCTCGACCTGTCCCTCGTCGAGCGCGCCAGGTCGGCCATTAAGCGTAGAATTGCGGGCGCCATGGCTGCCGACATGGAGGCCAGCATCAGCTCACTGCCTCCCATGGGAGAAAACGCGAGAAACCAAAAGGACCTGCAAGAAAGCGACGTATACTTGTTTCCATGTGGCATGAATGCCATCTACAACGCCCACCGGGCCATGCTGCGCGCTAGGGGCGACCTCCAATCTGTCAATTTCGGCTTCCCCTACGTCGATACGCTCAAGATCCTACAGAAGTTTGGTCCCGGCTGTCTCTTCTATGGGCGCGCTTCAGAGGATGATCTTGACGATCTCGAAAAGCGCCTAGAGAGTGGCGAGCGCTTCCTGGCGCTCTTTTGTGAATTTCCCGGCAATCCTCTCCTAACTTGCCCCAACTTGGCGCGGATCCGTACCCTCGCAGACAAGTACGATTTCGGCGTCGTTGTGGACGAGACCATCGGTAGCTTCATCAACATTGACGTGCTACAATACGCAGACATAGTCGTAAGCAGTCTGACCAAGATATTCTCGGGCGACTGCAACGTCATGGGCGGCAGTGCCATCCTTAATCCAAGCGGCAAGTACTATCAGGCCCTGAAGGGTGCTTGGATCGAGGATCTGGAAGATACGTACTGGCCAGAGGACGTCGTTTTCATGGAGCGTAACAGCCGCGACTTTGCATCGCGTATTGAGCGCATCAACGAGAGTTCCGAGACAATTTGCGACATCCTCTCGGCCCATCCGCTGGTAAAATGTGTTTACTACCCGAGAGTAAATCCGACGAGAACCAACTACGATCTCTGCAAATTGCCTGGTGGGGGTTATGGCGGGCTTCTGTCGGTCACGTTTCACAAGACGGCCCACGCCATTGCCTTCTTCGACGCCATTGAGACGGCTAAGGGCCCAAGTCTGGGTACGAACTTTACTCTGACATCGCCTTATGTACTGCTGGCCCATTACCAAGAGCTCGACTGGGCCGCTGGTCTGGGTGTTGATCCGGACCTCATCCGCGTCAGTGTCGGCCTGGAGGAGACGGATGAGCTGCAAAAGATTTTCACCAGTGCTCTTCGAGCAGTCGAAAAGTCACAAGATGATTGAGTTGCACAGTAAACTTAGTAGGACTGGAGCATTAATGGGTAGCTGGATGCGGAGGCACGCGGAAGCCAAAAGGTGACAAGAATCTGGAGAGTAACGAAGAGGTGCTCGCCAGCAACGACCACAAGAATCTCCCACATTCAAGTCTCGTTGCAACCGAAAGCTCAACCTACAACCGGCAAGGGTATCTCTAAGAAATCTATAGGAAAGCAAAGAAGAAGAAAATAAAACACGACAGTATCTACATAACAGAGCATTCAGAGTGCACGTACTCAGGACCATAGTCCTCAATGCCTCGTTCAATCTCGTTGGCTCGCTGCTTCTCCTTGGCCTCCTTGGGGAAGTACTTGCGCATGTATCTCTCTAGTTGGATATCCAGATTATCTGCAATCATTAGTGTGAGTCAGTGTGCACTCTGCATCAGCAAACTAGGTCTACTCACCCGCGGACGCCCTCATGACGGTGTCTGCTCTACACAAAGGGCAGTGCTTCTCGTTCCGCCTTTGGATCTTGACAATGCACCGGATGCAAAATATATGTTGGCAGGCTAGCCGGACAGGCCTATAGGCAATAGCGAAGCAGATTGGACACAAATAATCACTAATCTGCGGTACGACTGACACTAAATCGGTGGACATTTGGGCGCAAATGTCTTTCGCCACGGAGTCGGCCAGCAGCTTGTCGGAGTGGACTTGAATTGGAAAGGATTTCGAAACACCTAGGCAGGTACGTTTGTCGAATTCTGCCGTGAATCAGCTTCTCTTGCACAAATCAAACTAGATTGAAAACGATATTGATAAGGGGCGAGGCTCACTCTTAAGAATTTTGTAGATGGCAACCTGGTTGATTTCCTGGAACTGCAAGTTTTTGAGGAGAACGGCGTTAAGACTTAAGAAGCGAACCAGGGCTTCGCGACTCTCGGCAATCTTGAAGGATTTGACGAGATTCCTCTTTGTGATTTCCTCTTGGAACCACTGGAGCTGCTTCGCAGCCGTCTGACTGGTTCTGGACCCGTGGTCTTGCTCGTTGGTTGAGAAGAAGACCTGGGCGTCGAGGTACAGCTCGAAAATGGCTCGCCACCTCGCAAGGTCGCTCTTGGAGAGGCGACTGGGTTTCGTCAGATGTGAAATCTCCTGTCTCAAGGCAACGATCTCCGTCACCATGGCCTTTTCTTCCTTTGCCTGAAGTGCATCCAGGTTGTTGACATCGCTCTGCAGAATGTCAAAGAACTCACTATCAAAGACAAGTGGAACTTCGATACGCTCATAGTGCTCTGTTGGCGATGACTGGCCTTCGACCTGTAGACATCTCTGGGTGTCTGACAACTCAGTCTCAGCATTAGCAAGAGACTCAGCAGACGAGGCTGGCGACTTGGTTGGTACGTTGTCTTCGGGAGCTGCAGCCGGGATCGGTTGAGCTGGATCGTGGGACTGCAAGGCGGCGATGCGTTCAATGAGGGAACGGGATGCAGGCGTTAGTGATGCATCAACGGCATTACCGTCGCGCATGTGCACCAAAACAGTCAGCTTTGGTCTCAGTAACTTTGAGTTCCCGGCAGCTGTGTGCGAATTAGCCCTTATGCTTGTGGTAGGGGCGTACGGGGTGGCGGTAATGCGAACACCGTTACATGGGAGAGGGCAGAGAGAGTTTACCATTGAGGCGGTATTTGGCGGCCAGTGGCGAATCATTAGCCGGGTCGAGAAGTTGGCGTAGAGTCTCGGGATCAAGCCCCAGATCGTTGAGTTCCCTGGCGACGCGTTTGAGAACCTTCTTTAGCTGGCCATAAGGGATGGCCTGATCAATCCAGTGGGGTGGAAAGTCTGAAATTGAGCAGCGTCAGACAATGTATCGTCATTTTTTAGTTGTTTGAGAGAAAAATCGCATTCAGTCTCACAGAGTGTCTAAGATGAGACGAACAGGAAGGATATGAGAGGGAAATATCCGTAAAAATAATGACATGTGGTACACTAACCTTGGCGCCTAAGCGTTTCCTTGAAGTCGTGTGCAAACTTCATGGTGTATTCAAATTGGTTGGATCTGCAGTGCAACAATACTCGATACTCGGACTGGTGTCTTGGCAGGGCGTAAAGACATGGCTTTCTCTGCGAGGGGTGGATAGGATAGCCCTGGATTCATAGACGAACGATCAAGAAAGAGGGTTGGGGGGCTTGTGACGGGAGGGTAGGTAAAGGGTCAGCAGCGTACTTGCACTATATAAAATTTCAATCGCAGACAGGCAAAAGTACGTAACTCGATTGGTTTCCTGTCACCGGCCTCGACGACGTGCTGAGGGCTAGGCTGGGCTGGACCATGCTGTCGAACAACGGGCCAGGACAGGGAGGCAAAGGCGGGGGGTAGAACAAGGCATGGATGGATGGGCGGGCACACCGGACGCCATCCCATCCCATCCACATCCCCATCCGTAGCCGTCAGCCCGTCACTAACTCTCCTCGAGGTTCGGATATATGCATACATACCTTGCTTCGCATGACACCAAGTACCTTAGGTACAATACGGTAAGGCAGGGAACTGGGAACACTTGGTACTTTAGGTAGGGCAATCGTAGGTGCCATAATATGCCTTACGGCAGTCGTTCGACTACACCTGAGCAGACTTTCCGTACACGGACTCAGTCATTGAAGATACTTCACTCAATGTTGTCTTCAGAAAAGGGTGGGATTGGGCCCGCTGCTCCTGTCACCAAGCCGAAAAGTAGCTCCTCTCGATCAATGCTCATTACCTTCAACCCAGTCACCAACTTCGGAGTCGGCACGTTGCCATGCCAGGTGGGACCACGCAAGAGTCATTGTCAGTCTTTTCCGAGTAATGAGATAGTCGTACTAATATAGAGTATTACTGTATCCGTGCAATGACGGACAATTACCTCGCTCGCTCATCAAATGTCCTGGCGTGCACCTGCACTGCCAACTGCCTACCTGTCGACTTGCGTAGGTTTTCGATCAGACATCTATTGTCGGTCTTTATCTAGCGTCAACCATGTGGTTCCATGAAGTACCTGAGGCAAAGGCATTCGTATGGGCAGTAGGTATCAGTGTGATGATGACCATTCTCCAAGATCAGATATTGAATGGGTAGGTAGATAGAAGAGATAGGTACACAGTACTTTAGCTACCGCGGCGCCTACCTCAAGGAACCTTACCTTCAACTTCAACAACCCTTAATTTCTTATCTTATCAACAATGGCTGGCAATGAGGGGTTGCGGGGTATGTCTTCCTTCCCTTACCTGAAGGCGTGGAGGGGCACCTACCAAAAAAAAAAAAAAAAAAAAAAAGGAATGAAATTCGGTTCAATACCTATTTATGGATTACCTTAGTACCTAAAGTCTACCTACCTAGGCACCACAACGAAGTTCCATCCTTACTTTACTTGGAAATATCTTATCGTCTTTACCTAGCAGACGTGCCTGCCCAAGTCCTTCATCTGTTGTGAATTTTTGGTTACCTTGACCTGGTGAATATCTTGATCACTGGTTTTCTTCACTTTTCTGTGCCGCGTGTCAGGCTTCTTGGACTGGTCGGTCGCCAGCTTTCACCAAACACGCGCCGGCTCCAACGCGCGATCCTGTGGCAGCTCTCGCATGTCAAGGTATTCGGCGGTTCGAACTCAGCAACAAATAACGCCACCCAATTCGCTTTACACCACATAGCGTCTCCGGTGTGTCATGGGTGCTCAGCAATCCTCCGGTCGAGACCAGAGCGAAGGCTCCTCTGAACCGGTCAAGACATGTTACTACGAGCTCCTTGGAGTTGGGCGCGACGCTTCTGACGATGAGTACGCACTGGTTCTTCACCTCCCAATGCTCTTAGGACTTTGCTTGGGTCTATGCTTATTGATCTCGGGCCTACAGAATCAAAAAAGCTTACAGAAAACGAGCCCTTGAGCTTCACCCGGACCGAAACTTCCATGATGTCCAGAATGCGACCCGTCGCTTCGCCGAAATCCAGGCCGCATACGAGGTACTTGCCGATCCCCAGGAGAGAGCTTGGTACGACTCCCATCGCGAAGCCATCTTACGTGGGGCCGATCCGACCGATTCAGGCACCAGCCCCGAGTACAATAACGTGAAGCTCACGTCCACCGAAGACATATTCTCCCTCATTCGCCGTTTTGACTCCACTGTTCCTTTCACAGATGGCGCTTCAGGGTTCTTTGGCATTGCCAAGGCGACATTCGATCAACTTGTTGATGAAGAAATCGCTGCTGGCGCGTATGAAGTGGGAGACACTCCGGATTATCCTACATTTGGCTCCTCTACCGACAGCTATGAGCACACTGTCAAAGCCTTCTACAGTGCCTGGGCCAGCTTCTCGACTTGCAAGACTTTTGCGTGGAAGGACAAATACCGGCTCGTGGACGCCCCGGATCGCCGTATCAGACGTGCTATGGAGAGAGAAAACAAGAAGATTCGTGAAGAAGCCGTACGAGAATTCAATGACGCAGTCAGATTCCTCGTCACTTTTGTACGAAAACGTGATCCGCGTTACCTTCCAAACACACAGACAGCTGCCGAACGCCAGGAGTCTTTACGTTCCGCCGCTGCCGCTCAAGCTGCACGCTCACGTGCCGCCAATAAAGAGAAGCTATCCGAGGCATCCGTTCCTGACTGGGCTCAGGCGAGGGATGAAGGCGATACGACCGGCCACTTCTCGAGCAGCGAGGAGGAGGAATCAGAGGTAGAGGAGATCGAATGCGTTGTATGCAACAAGACCTTCAAGAGCGAGAAGTCATTTGAAGCACATGAGAGAAGTAAAAAACACGTTAAGGCAGTGCAATATTTGAGGCGCCAAATGAAGAACGAAGATATGGATCTAGGTCTACGTGACGTTCCTATCGCGCCCAAGATGGCGACACCGAGCGACGAGTCTGAGGGGGGGTTTGGTACTCGGGACCGCAGTGAATTGGACGCCGCAAAGGGCACGGATGACACATCAGCAGGACCAATTCCTCATATCAATGAGATGGAGCTCACTGATACGTCGTC